GTCCAGAGTCCGCTCCAGTCCCTGAACACAGTCCAGAATCCGCTCCAGTCCCTGAACAGTCCAGAGTCCGCTCCAGTCCCTGAAGACAGTCCAGAGTCCGCTCCAGTCCCTGAAGACAGTCCAGAGTCCGCTCCAGTCCCTGAAGACAGTCCAGAGTCCGCTCCAGTCCCTGAACACAGTCCAGAGTCCGCTCCAGTCCCAGAAGACAGTCCAGAGTCCGCTCCAGTCCCTGAACACAGTCCAGAGTCCGCTCCAGTCCCTGAACACAGTCCAGAGTCCGCTCCAGTCCCTGAAGACAGTCCAGAGTCCGCTCCAGTCCCTGAACACAGTCCAGAATCCGCTCCAGTCCCTGAACAGTCCAGAGTCCGCTCCAGTCCCTGAAGACAGTCCAGAGTCCGCTCCAGTCCCTGAACACAGTCCAGAATCCGCTCCAGTCCCTGAACACAGTCCAGAGTCCGCTCCAGTCCCTGAAGACAGTCCAGAGTCCGCTCCAGTCCCTGAACATAGTCCAGAATCCGAGAGACGAGAGTTCAAGAGATTTCCACGACGCATGCGCGAGAACTGAGAAGAGGACGTTCTTCTTCTACTTCTTGTTCAGTTCTCGCGCATGCGTCGTGGAAATCTCTTGAACTCCCGTCTCAGGCCCACAAGGAAGAAAAGGAATAGTCGAATAAAGTCGTTATTTTTGTTTTGTTTTCCGCACAAAAAGTATTCTCGTCGCTTGATAAACTTATAGTTGAGCCACTGTAGGCACATGAAATATTTAAACATTTTCTTCAATGACTTTCTGGGCCGTCAAGTTTCACTCCCTTAGGAAGCCTATGTAGCAGTGATCTAGCTCTCAAATTTAATCAAAAATATCTTCATTTGTGTTCCGAAGATGAACGAAGGTCTTACGGGGTTGGAACAACATGAGGGTGAGTAATTAATGACTTAATTTTCATTTTTGGGTGAACTATCCCTTTAAGGCTTTCCTAAAGAAAGGTAGACTAATGACTTCGATTTGAGCACATTTGGTCAATTCTATTATTATTATAATGTTACTCAAATTCATTAAGATTTAAAAAATAATAGTATATTTGTGGGCTTTAATTAAAAAATGTTTTGGTGGTGTGTAGGCTAACTGCCTGGAGACATTTAAAAACGCTGACACATCAGTGTGACAGGACCAAAATGAAAAAAGTTATGTACACTTATTTTTAATTACATTGTGTACACTCATACACTACAGGTGCAACCGCACAGCATTTTTCCTACTTCAAACTTTACATTTTAGAGTCTATATAGAACATAGTCTAAATGTTTTGTTTAGAAAATGTATAAAAACACAACGATTAGTGTTCCGACTCGAATATGTATTTTAAAGTAGGCTATTTATATTTTATTTGTCATCGACTCATTCGTTTTTATTTCTCGTTTATAGAATCCTGCTCACAGAATGTTTAAGGTGATGATGTGAAAAGAAAACTGTCTACAAGAACCGTTCGAATGGAGCTAACTTGGAAGTCAGCTGACAATTTCGTTTCAACATAGCAATTTTGAGCAGCTGAACTGGTTTGGTATTCAATATCTTCATTGTTTTAGAGGAAGTCCCTCCCTCTGTCACAGTAGCACCTGCCTGAAGCTTCACGAGCTGTTTGGGTCCTTCAGACAAACTTTCCAACAACTTCCCTTTTTACATGCGACCATCAGTGATATAAAATGTAATTTCTTCGTTAAAATATGATTAAAGACAAATTACAACAGATTACAAAGCATTAGTTTCCATAAGTTTCTTTCTATGCAAGTTCAAATGAGCGTCTGTATCGTACATTATAAAAACAGCCGTTTAAAAGGTTATAACAATCTACAAAAAACGTAGAAAGAAAAATAGATTTTATACCAAGCCGCTTTACAATCCTTGAAGAAAAATCACGTCGATTAAATGAACAGTCCAGCTGTCCGATCGGGAACGGAAAACACGGTCTCTGCCTCAGCTTTATATCATGACAGGTGCAACGATGCGCGCAGCGTTTGTTGCAGTTCTTGACATTTGCCTCCTCCACCAGTTAACCGACAAGCCCCGCCTCCTGAGCAGTTTGCCTCACTAAACCAATCAGCTTCTGAGAAGCTTCACAAAAGAAGTCTGTGGTTGGCCAGTTGAGAAGTAGCCATTGCAGTGGTACAGCAAAGGGCAGGAGTGTTGTTGGAATATGCTACCGGCGGGGAAATAACGCTGGTTGGTTGCATGCTGTATTTCTACAGCCTTAACACATTAAAGTAAGAAATCAATTAGTGATATCATCTTACAATTACAACTGAGGGTTTAAGGTTTATATTTACGCGGTATGTTGCCGCTTCTTAGTGATGGAGAGTGACTCAGTTACGCGAGTCGGTTCTTTTGAACTGTTCATTTTAAAGAACTGGTTCAAAATCCGATTCAGAAATTACTTTACGTCCTGACCAACGTAAAATAGACTGTAAAAAAACGCCATCCCGTGGCATATTTACACGCGTTAAAACCTTTTACAGTCTATGGTTAAAACGTCCCAATAATGTCATAGTATATGGGCATGGCAAATAGCTGTTTATTACATTTTATGAAGACGGCTAGCTGTTTGTTTTAGTATATGCGTCCCAGATCAATTTGTTGCAACAATGATATAGCGCATAAAACAATTCATTTAGAACCTAAATATAATTTGCATTTACAACAAAGCAATATTAAAATTAATTTACACCTCTTTGCTTAAATAGTTCTTGCTCGTTATGATAAACGCCGTAACTATGTTCCTTCTGCGTTGACGCTGCCATTTTTTACTTTTATTTCACAGTATTATTGTTATTATTTTTTTAAATGGTTCAGCCGATTCAATTAGAAGACTCAAAAGAACGATTCGCTCGGAGTCTGACATCTACATTCCGCTTCTGCGTCATGGGGAGACACTGCAGTAGCAGAGCAATCCGTCTTCTGGGCTCCAGCCACCACATTACATCTATAAACCTTACAAACACGAATGAACGCCTGTCGAAAATCAGTTTATGACTGCTCTAGGATTCGAGTCTCAAAAAGAGACCATTAGAAAATCACGTACATTACATCGTCTGCAAATTGACAGATGTGTCGTATGATGTGCAGGCTGTGTTAGTGTAAAATGGAAGCGTACAAATCAAGAAAAACACAATAACTCACTCTTTGCTGCATCTCTGTGCTGTCGTTAAGTGCTTCATCGGTTCCGTTACTGGACATGATCACCGGAACGGCGATCGAGATGCGGCCGGTGAGGAGCAGTTCTCGGTTCAGTGCGCGCAGATGAACGGGTTAACTCATTCTGCTCCAGATCAGATTATAACTGCAATCTATAAACGGTTATGGGTCGTTTAAATAGCATTCAGAATTCAAAAAGCTTTCTGATCACCTGTGAATCTTTTCTCTACTATAGAGAGTCTCTCATTCCGACGGCTGCGATTAGTCTAGCTGTGCAACCATGTCGTTTTCCTCTGAGGGAGAAAAGCACTCTGGAGTAGAAACACGTTATTTGCATGAAACATGGAGACACATAACGACTAATGTAAGTGCATAGAAATAGCAGAGAAGTAGGCTATGGGAGAGCGAGAACAAGATTTAACATATTAATAAAGATTGAGAAACAAACTGATATAGTAGCATTATTGTATACAAACAGGAGAAAAGTACAGAAAATAGACATTTGGAAACAGCAACTCCCTCCTGATACACAAATCACAAGAGAAGCTAGACATTTCAGATTGGTTAGCAAAAACCACAAACAGTATCCGGGCAAATCTTATACGTCTAACCATTGAAAAGGGAATAACTAGTTTATCTGCCTTTTTATTGTTAAACTTCAAAATACAAATTTACAACAGAAGACAAAGACACAAATTCCTTTATACACTCTTTTCCACAGGAACCGTACAAACTATTTCCATCTTTTCTTTAAGACGTCATAGCACTGCTGTCATATTCATATTATATCAGATTGTGCAAAAGATCCACCTTTAAAATAATTCAGTGAAAAGACATTGATAAGACAAAAAAACAAATAAAAAAGCAGACACACATATATACGCAGTTCCCTTATTGAAGTTCTAAAAATTTAATGATATAATCTTCTCTTGTGTGCTTGTCAGTTGTGGGAAAATAAAATAAATAAAAAGACTAAAGGCAGTAAAAAAGAAAGGATGGTTAGAAGATAAAGGTACTACACTGAATGAAGTGTACAAGAGCGTAAAAATGGATCAAAATCAGTTAAAGGAAGTACTGAACTGAATGACATTTAAAACAATACAGAGAAATAAAAAGAAAAGCACATATTAATGTATGTGTGTGTGACTGTGTGTATATATTAGCAACCAGGGTCAGTATTCACTTAAATCAGGAATGGGCAATTTCGGTCCTAGAGGGCCACTTTCCTGCTGAGTTGAGCTCCAACCCTGATAAAAACGCACCTGCCAGCAGCTTTCTAGTAATCCTGAAGACATCGATTAGCTTGTTCGGTGTGTTTGATAAGGGTTGGAGTTAAACTCTGCAGGACAGTGGCTCTTCGGGACCAAAGTTGCCCATTCCTGATTTACAGGCTCTCATTTCAAGTAGTAAAATGTGCAATTCTGCATTTCACTGAGTGAAAAGTACTCACATTTTCACAAACAGCACTCAAAAATAAAATCATAAACACATGTATCAGACATTAAAGGTGAATCTGCTGTTCTAAATACTGTGTATAAAAGACAGGTGAGTCTATTTTCTGCTGGAAAAAAATCAGCAGGAACATTTTCACACATAACAGGACGATTCAATTCACCTAAAAAAAAACTGTAATAACTGCAGGAGTGAAGAAATAGGGAGCTTTTAAAAGGTTACATTTTTATATTAAATGTGATTTTTTTTTTTTTTAAGAAATAATGACTTGATCTGTTTTTTTGTAGCTGTCTATGAACTGAATAAATGATGATGCCATAATGACTTTGAAATCTTTGAAAGGTGCTTGGCTGATACCGTGTTTGGTTATATATGATTGGCTGCCGGAGTTAGAATGGAGGGGAACATTAGAACCCTGGCCTGCATGAAGGACAGGTCAGGGAGAAGAGAGATGACCTTTGCTGCTTCCTCGCTTATCTTTTCAACTTTTTCTGGCCTCCTGTCAAACACACACAAAAAGAGCATTTTCTCAGAGATTGACCTTTCTAGCCCTCTAGCAGTAAAGTAGCAATGTAGTTGCGCTCAACATGTTATGGCATGCTAAGAGTATGCATATGTCTCACCTGGCTGTTGTTGTGGTTTTCTCCATAGACTCCATGAGTTTTGTAAATGCATCTGCAATGTTGCGACCAGTGGTGTTCTCAATTTTAGCTGTAGTCAGTTCATATATCTCTGGATCAACACCTAAATAAACAGGGGGGAAAAAATAAAATAAGGGACACACAAATACACACACACAGTTATCATTTTGTTTAAAATGCTTAAACCTTACAGTTCATTATACCGTCAGTAACGACAATGAAGCTACATAAACAGGATCTCAAAAACAGTAGAATTTTTTTTTTTATTAAATATAAAGTTCATGCGAGACTATCACTTTCTTAGTAAGACTTAAAGAATTTCCCAGACACATAGAAGCAAAACACTATCAATAGTGCATTAGATTAAAGGCAGAAAAACAGAGATACTCACACTGGCAGATACTGTAAGCAAGTCCAGAGAGAGGGACAGAACACTAGAGTACGAACAAATGCTAAAGACGACAAGCTTCCCTAAAAAGTTGATTTTGAAATTACAGACACAAGGAAAAAGGAAGAAAAAAAGGTTTCACAGCAAGCCAGTCACTTATTAACTGAGATGAACCCTTTCTGTTCTGACCTGGTAGTGGAGTGTCATTTTCACTATCTGAGCTACATTCATCCACAGGCCCAAAATAGTCCAAATTTAGCACTGAGATTCCACCATCTTGTGTTTCACATGAGCGACACAGCAATGACAACAAGACATGGAGGGTTAGTGTGTTGTTAGTAGCTCAGGATATTCACAATAAATCAACAGAAGTATATACAGTATATTACTGTTCAAAAGTTTGGGGTCTTTTTGGAAAGAAATTAATACTTTTATTCAGCAAGGATGTATTAAATTGATCAAAAGTGACAGTGAAGACTTGTACATTGGTACAACAGATTGTATTTCAAATAAATGCTGTTCTTTTAAACTTTCTATTCATCAAAGAATAAAATAAATAAATGGTTTCCACAAAAATATTGTGCATGACCAACTGTTTCCAATATTGATAATAATAAGAAATGTAAGCATATTAGAATGATTTCTGAAGGATCATGTGACAATGAAGACGGGAATAGTGGCTGCTGAAAATTCAGCTTTGCCATCACAGGAATAAATTACATTTTAACATAGAAATAGTTATTTTAAATGTTATTACCTTGCATAATATTACAGTTTTTAGTGACTTTGATATTTAAAATAAATTCTGAATTTGACAGCAAATCTTACAGACCCAATCTTTTGAATGGTACAGTGTACACGTGTACATAAGAGCAAGAAAAGGTAAAGGCAGTTCAGCACCAGAAAACTTTTATTAGGAGTGACAAAGCAGGAAAAGATTAGACCGGAGATGAAAGCAAGAGATGAACTGTCGTATAATATATTTATTGACAGATTTAATTAAGGTTCAACATAACTGGGAAAAATTACTATCCAGATAAAGAGCTCAAGGTCAACAATTTTGGTTAAAGAATTTTTTTTAAGTTTGACATTTGTGACATAATGCTTATTATCACTGAAAATAATTGACGTATCCCTCAATATAAAAAAGCTAAAATATCAAGGCAATTGCAATTGAAGGAAGCCTTAAAATACACATGTAAAAACATTTACCTTTTTTCAACAAAAATTAAATAAGGGATGAGTTGAAATTATTTTCTGTAGTAATCAACTGTAACTGTCAACATTATGCCACAAATTGTGTTGACTGAACTTGTAATGAATCCAGAACATTCCCTTAAGATTGAGAAGAAGCGGTATATCACAGTTTGCAAGTTAAGTTGGTCAAAACAGTGCATTAATTAATGTTTCACTGCTAGAAAGAAGGAAAAACTGAATTATACATTAGCATAGACTGTATAACAGAAATCAACACCTAATTAAACCTTCACAATTTTAAAACAGCCTCTCAGTAAGTTGTAGCATCTGTATGTAAATCTTTGAAAATGAGGTGGTGTTTCCTCTTTAATTTTAGCCAAAGCGTGCTATACAATGGCTTCAAGTAAGCACCAGCAGTAAGGTCAGCTATTCCAAAAAAGATCTCTTTTTTAGTCAAACCTGAGACAGTAGCTGGTGCATAGGGACTAAATTGGTTGTCCTTTTGACAACACAACTGAGAACGTATTTAATATTGGGTAAAGTTCTCTTTATCTCAAGTCTTGCATATAATGGCAAGGTAATAAACAACTGCATATGAAGCTGCATACTTATAATCTGAGGTAGTACACTTCAGCCTCTGTGTGTATATGAGTGTGGAGAAAATAGTGACATGGACTTTCAGATGCAGAACAAGGGAGGAGATAGGCAAGATGTAAACAAATTAATATATAAAAGGGAATCTAAGATGAACTGATTTGCATCTTTGCTGACTGAATAGTGTTTCACTTTTGAGCAAGAAGAAAGACAAACAACTGGGAGAAAAAGAAAAGAGTTTCCCGTTCTTTGGATCATAAATAGAATTTGGACCGTTACTTCTCAAATTGTTCTGCTAATGCTAGTTTAGTGTTAAATCAACACTGATAAAACAAACATACAGGAGAGAAACCTTTCTAAGTGGTGTGTGAATTGTGAAGGAAACAGGAAGTTTGAAAAATGGAGAGAAGAGTGTGGTGAGAGAGAAAGGAAGTGCTCAGACAGGGATGATAAGCGAGGCAGCATCAGGAGTAGGATTTCTGCCGTGAGTGGCGAGTTGCTTTTTCTTGAACTCTAGAGAAGGAGGCACGGCGAAAAGACGTACCGTCAATACTAATGGCCAAAGAGGACGCCACCTGCAGCACAACAAATGTAGTTTAGCAAGCATACAAAGTAGTACCCGGTTGCACAGGGTAGTCGACTTTAATACTCTGCCAAGACGCTTTGAGCTTGACGTCGACTAGTCGCTGATCATGGCCTATAGAGGGCGCAACAGCAAGTCCACTTTTACGCTCCGTTTCCAACAGTTAAAATGACAAATAAATGCATACTCCGAGAGCACTCCACAAAATATATTTGATTATACCATCTGGATGCTCAAAATTGATCAGGTGAATGCACATTTTAAACAGCTTATTGTACACATAAGTTAATCGCCGTTCTAAACTAATGCGCTGCTGCATTATAAAACGCACACACTGACAGTAGCCTAGTGCTCGCATATCTTGTGCAGATTTATCAATAAAATAGCTTAGAAACTGAAAAGTTCTAGCATATATTTCTTAGTAACTAAAACCCACAGCTTCACTATTAGTAGAGAGACGCTGCCAGGTAGAATTAATTCACAAGCAATCGCTCTCTCATTAATGCATTTATATAAATGTAATCTTTACTGTGCTACTTTATCTGCATTTAGAACGAGCAAAAATCTGTTAGAAACATAACGGCCCAAAGACAAAAGAACTGATACAAATAAGCTGTTATGTAGGAGCGCTGTGTCATATGCAATAGCTGAGCACAAGGCAACCTGCGTTCGAGACTCAGCTCGAGGTTAAGGCTTATTTGATCATTAATGACGTCATCAGCGACCAGTCGACGTCGACTCGACTTTAATCACATAAATGTTGATTGAAAAAAAAAACTGGTCGTTCAACCCTTAATACAAAGTACTTACAATCAACTTTTAATAGTGACAGAATGTCCAAGAATTACAGAAAGAAGATTAGATCATTAATATATCTGTATCTTTATATCTAGATAACTAATATCTATGTGCATGTCTGCGCTTCTCACCTGAGTGCATAGAATATTTCCACTCTCCACAGAAACAGAAGGGGAAAGTGCAGGGGAGGCTGGAGATTTTTGAGACTCTTTGGTGGGTTCCAGCATTCCCTGAGAAGAAGGGACAGATGTTTGGTGAAAACAAATCACAAAAAAGAATGATACGCACTAATGTATCATAATGTATCAAAAATATTAATACTTTTATTCATCAAAAATACAAGTTAATTTAAACTTTCTATTCATAAAACAAACAGTTTTTCATTAAAACATTAAGCATCACAACTGATAATGAGAAATGCTTCATGATCAGCAAATCAGCATATTTAGAATGATTTCTGAAGGATTATGTGACTGAAGACTGGAGTAATGATGCTGAGAATTCAGCTTTGCCATCTCACAGGAATAAATTACATTTTAAAATATATTAATATAGAGAACAGTTATTGTAAACTGAAATAATATTTCACAATATTATGTTTTTGGGGTTTAGGACTTCACTCACCAGTCCAGCAGCAAACATAGGCACGATCACTGGCTGCTGGTTGTCTCCAGTGAACAACTATTAGAGGAATAAGAAAAAAAATCAATCATGTCAAATCACTAAAAAGAAAGGAATAGTAAAAAAACAAGTTAGTACTAATTAGTCACAACTCAACCCTGTGACTGTCTGTTTATCAATGTTTACTGACTAGAAATATACTTCACATGAGAGAGAAACCAGCTGTAATCAACAATACTGCACGTCTATGAGGTATGTACTTTCAAGAACTCACAATATTCCTGATTCCTAGGCAATCCAGAAGAATTCTGTTACTATGGGAACCTGCCCACTTGAACTTAAGGCCATGACTGCTGTGGATCTCCTGAAGGTGGCACCACAAGGCCAATGAATTTCTGCAGAAATAAAAATGAACTGAGTTATTTCTCAGGAACTAGTCGAACCAAACACACAGGATATTTTTAAACACTAGACATGGAGCTCCTATTAATAGAAGCCGCCTCAGGGTAAAAAATACAGATCAAGTTTAAAATAAGAAATAAAGTCACATTGTTAAATATATTAAGTCACAATTACAACAAATAAAGTCACAATTGTGAGATATAAAGACTTATTTTCTACAGTGAGGATAGGTTTTCATACTAGCAAGCCCAAATATGTGACTATATTCTGGAAACAAGTGCAAAAAAATCTTAGAAGCTTGTAGTCAAGATGAGACTCTTACTCCTGTGCCCTTTGCTCCTGAGGATTCTGAGCCTGCAGGAATTTGTGTAGGGGCAGGACCTCAGTGACCCCGCTGACCTCAGGATGGACGTCTAAAGGGAAGGCGGTTCTGAAGAGATGCTGTAATTTGCAGCAGAACTCAGCCTGTGAGATGAAAACTCAGGTTGCAGTTCATCTAAACTTTTTACATTCAATTTTATGGTTTAAAATCCGTTAATCGAACTGCAATTCATTTTAACAAAAATGGATTGCATGAATAATGATTAACATGTAAATGACTCACAGTGCTACCCTGGAGGTCACCACTAGAGGGTACTGTTGAAGTCTCAACATCTAGTTCTTCTTTACCCAGGTAAGTAGTCTGTTCCTCCCCAAAAGTGGCCCATGAATCCTGATCCTCTTTTGTGCCTTCATTGGGTCCAAACGCAGTCCAGTTGTCTTGCAACTCCTCCACTCCTCCAAATGGAGCTGCACTAAAGTCGGCAAAACTGTCACTGGGAGGCAACTCAGAACAAAAAGCTCCTTCATCGCACGCTGCTTCCTCAGCCAGCTCATCGTCCTCCTTGAAGTCCTTCAGGGTGTCCGTGTCACCAAACTCATCATCCGTGGAGCACCTGGACATTGCTGTGACAAATTCAGGAAATCCTTCCTGTGTTATAGATTCAGTCCGGCTGAAGTCCGAGAAACCCTGAGATGTATCTCTGAAATCGCCAAAATCCTTGTTGGCCGTGTTTGCAAACGATCCATGAATTTCCCTTGTGTCTCCACTTATCTGTGTGTCAGAGATTAGATCTACATCCATGGAGGGGGCCGTCTCTGCTTCGGCTATGTCATCACAGTCCACAGACCCGTCATGTTGACCACAAACAACAAAGTTCTCCATTTGTTTATGCTCGCCTTCAGGTTCTTGTGCATCTCTACAACTAAACAACTGGGAGTCGCCACATTGCTCCAGTCTCACTTCCGTCTCTCCAGGTTCAGATGCTTCTTTATGGGATGAATGATTGTTTGAATCAGTCAGGTTGTTCGTTTTGTTGATCAACTGGTTTCCGTCTAACACATCAGCTACGTTGATGTCCAGTCCAGAGTGTACTTCAGTGTCTGTGCTTTGTAAGCAGGTGGAAAGAGCTCTGTCCAGCTCTGAATTTGCACAAGACTCACTGTATCCATTACTGAGGATGTGTCCATCGCCTGAACTGCTGATTCGGACATCAGGAAGTATCGAGGGAGAGTTCTGACCATGTTCAGCAGAGAGCGCCTTCTGATCGAAGGACGCCAAATTTGTGACCATCTCAGATAATTCCTGTTCTGTTTTCTCGACACTGCTAATTGATCCTCCGACCATTTTTCTCTCGTTAGCCCATCCACTCTTCCCTGATACAGCGACACTCTGTATAGATTTGATGTACAGGTCAGGTGGAGATTCCTCCAGCGCGTTTGATTGGTTGAATGTTGTGGGCGTGTCGATGTCTGAGAAGCTGAAACTGGATGACACTCCTCCGCCATCAAAACCCCCGAACTCACCAAAATCACCAAACTCATCCTCCTCTTCTTCCTCTCCAGCCTCATCCAGTGGAGGGGGAGAGGAAGAGTACAGACGGATGACATCGGGCTCCATGGTCCTCTTGCGCCACCTGCGGCCACATGCACACACACCCCTTGAGGAAAAAAGAGAGATAAGACAAAGACAATTATAGAAACCTTGAGAATGTTTTATTATCATTATTGGTCAAGAACAAAATTCGCTTTCATTCAGCAAAAAATTATATGATAAAAGTGACTGACACCCATTTAGCCGAAACAATCACCTCTTTTGATTATTAGATATTATTATTAGACATTTTATACACGTCTGCACAATGAAATGCTAAAAGCAAATAATACAACAGCCAAATTCACTAGCACCAGCAGTACGTTTTTGATATTTTGGATTTTGAAATTGATATATATTTTTATATATATATATATATATATATTTGAATTTAAACAAAAACATTTAAATTGCAAATTATTTGAACTCTTTGTTTAGGAATGTTAAACAAAATTTGATCCCCCCCCCCAGGATCAAATTTTGACTAGGATCAAAGGATCTGACAGGTCTCACATGATGGTTAAAGTAACAACAGCTACTAATATTTAACTGTGTGTCTACAGATTCATCATTACCCTGGTGTAGAGTATAACAGTGGTGCAACAAGGAAAATCAATAATAGTCGAAATATGCAAATTCACTTTTCACTAGTTTTAGTAGGTTTATGTTTCTTGATTCTAGTTTCTGACAAGATACAATACCATTGGCTCAGACAGGTATGAATACACAAAAGTAGGAGAAGCCACTGTACATAATAATTTTTGTATATAATAAATTACTTGAGTATCAGAGCGTGCAGACGAAAACAATAAACGCATTTCCGAGGAAGATGACTGCTATTTGGGAACGCAATCGTGTAAGACCGTTCTGGGAGGTAATTATACAGAACCACTTTGACACCAGACTTCAAAATCATCAAAAGTGATTAAAATTACTATAGTGATTCGTGAATGATTTTTTTTTTTTCCTATTTATGAAATAAATTATTCTTTGTGAGTATATTGCCTAAAAAACGTTTTTAAAAATCCTTGAATGACTTGGAAAGTCCAGGAAATTCATTGGTAAAAAAAATAAATAAAAAATAAATAAAAAAGGCATTGGGAGGGACCCTGTAATAGATTGAAACTCTTATACTCTAAATAATCTTTTTAAAAATCCTTATTTTTAGCATAAACATTTAACCTAATGTTTTTGTTCCAAACAAACATAGACTGGTTAATCTCTGTATGACCACCTCAGCAGTCTTTCCAGTTTGATCATGGGGGTACAAAAAATACCCCCAAACTGGTTTTGTGGATTGTGCTGGACAACTATCCTAGTTATTTTCCATTCAAAAAAATATTTAAATGGTGGATTAGGCTAAATCTGATTTTTAGGCAGTAGATGCATGGAGTTTTTGTCCCTCAGTGTTTGGACTCCAGCTCGGAGTCTGTGCTGTTTGTCTCAGAGCACAAAGGAAGTGGATTGGGTTCCCTCATCAGTTTACACTCCCTTCAAAGAGGACATATCAGCGTTTACACAGTGTGCGTGTGTATGTGAGCGTGTCTGCTTGCCTGAGGCAAACTAAATACTCCAGTATGTGGGCTAGTAATCAAAATATTTCAAATTATATTGGGCCAAACTCACATCACTGTACTTTTGTATTTGTGTAACTGACTTCTATAGGGAAATTTCCAGACAGTGATTTTCCAGAACCAAAGAGCTTCTGTACAGTTTGCGTGTAGGTAAGAGTGCACTTTAAACTTGACTACAAGTTTGTGTACCCCCTTTAAACACACACAAAAACCACAGTAGGCTATATGCTACAGTTCAAAGGTTTGTGTGTGTGTGTGTGGGGGGGGGGGTGATGGTTAAAGGGGGTGATCAAAAGTGATGGTTAAAGACATTTAATGTTCTAAAATATAAATAATTACTTCTATTTATCAAAGAGCCCTAAACCATATATATCATGGTTTCCACAACAAAATTAATAATAATTATTATACTATTAATATTAGTAAACATATTATTTTTGAAGGATGATTCCTGATAGATCATGTAACACTGAAGAATAGAGTAATGGCTATTGAAAATTCCGCTTTTTCCTCACAGTATTAAATTATTACATTTTAAAATATATTAAGATAGAAAACTACTATTTTAAATTTTAGAACTATTTCACAAATTCCGTTTTACTGTATTTTGATCAAACAAAATGCAGTCTTGGTCTTGGAGAGCATAAAACACATTTAAACCAACCCCTAATGTTTGAACGGTAGTGTATACGTGTCACATGAAGGTCTTGTTTAGTTTCATTATCTTATGTTATATGTTTCTCTAAGTGTTCATTAAAGGTTATTTTTATTGTTCTGCATCACACATCTCTTTACTGTATTTGCTACACACTAAACGTGACAGTATGTAGGTTACTGTGTGACCCAATTTAGTTTTTTCCTCCAGTCAGAATCAGATTACTAACAGTGTCCATTAGATCATCATGCCTCATCCATGGGATGCTGACTTTAAAGGTTTTGGCTCACATAACTTTGTCATTGGAATGATGTAAAACAGGACAAAAAAAAAAGGAGTTCCCAGCTGAGCGCTCACCTCATTAATTGTTTGAAACGCTAATCATGTTTGTGTTTTAGGGAACACACGTAATCGAGGGCATTGCATTAATATTGATACATTAATTAATATCAATGCTTGGTCTCTGAGAGCCTAATGTTCTACAAGTGTTTGTAAGTCTGTTTATACATTCTCTACTTAGTTTATGAACGTTTGAATAGCCCCGCATGTGTAAAAGTGAATGTATGCGAGTGACAATACGAACTAGCTCGTAAAGATGTTCATGTGTATATTTGCATACTAGTTTCCTCACGTATTTTATTGTTATATTTAGAAGACATAATCTATGTGCCTTTTAGTCATTATAACGCTCCTCCCATCTGCACACTGCTATTTACCTTTTTCCGGCTACAACTGAGTTCCCACGGGACTTCAGCGCGAGACTACAGCTAGCCGTCTAAAACACTATTTAGGTGAATTTAAACAATGACTAAGTTGCTAAACGCATCTTGTTGTCATGTAAGGGCCCTGTTCATGTTGGACAGACATTTTAAAGGGATAGTTCACCCAAAAATGAAAACTAAGTCATTAATTACTCACCCTCATGCTGTACCAATCCCAATTAATGACTTAATTTTCATTTTTGGGTGAACTATCCCTTTAATCGCATTTTGGCACAAAGACACTCTTTATGAATATGCCCCCATAACTGCCGTTTTAGCTGAGTGGGGCATTAGCTTTAGAAGCTCCGTGTTGCAAGAAGCACCAATCCGGCTCGTTTTTTTTTCTATAGACAGTACGGAAATCACTAGAATAGCCAAAGCCATGTATTAAGGTTATCCACATACTTTTAACCATATAATGTAGTATTGTGCCATACATCTCTAATAAGTTTCTGTAATTACATCTAATTACACTGTTGACCCAACTGCTACCCAATAAACCTATACCACCAAACCTGCCCCTAACCTTACCCTTATCCCACCTTGACAGCAGCAAATCTGTTTTGGGTTGCAACTTATTTTGTGCACTTACACTTGCCTGTACTTATAGTGTACTTACCTAAGAAAGTACTGGGTAATATAAGGTAACTACATGGATTAAGGTTAGGTTTAAGGGTAAGTGTTCACAACATGAACACAATAAATGCCATGTATTTAACTTTTTTTTGACGCAAGTACATAGTAGTTAAAGACACTTTATATAAAGTAGAACCGAAATATGGATGTGAAGGCAAATTAGGCCATGCATAAATGACTGTTTATAAATATAATGCCAATGAAAAGCCTCCTGTGTAATGCCACAGAGTAGACAATGGACATAATACAAACATCTAGATACCACGATAATGCAAATCAGGTGGCTTTCGCCCTCATGCTTCATAAATATAGACAGAGATAAACAGGCAGATATTGTGTATGGCTTTCAAAATTGTATAGGTTATATATTGAATACTGTTTTCTTTTTCTTCTGTGGAACAAAAAATTAGCTGTTAATCGGATTACAACAAAAAAGAAGAAGCAATGAAAGTAAAAGATGACAGCCTGACAGTCACTACTTGCTTTCATTGCATCTTTTCTTCATACAATGGCAGTGAAGGACTGCGACTAATATTCTGCCTAACATCTTTTGTGTTCCATGATGAGAAAAAAAATATGTCATACAGGTTTGAAACAACATGAAGGTGAGAACATATACCTTTAACTTGCACCTCGACAAGAGGAAGTATTTTGCACGAGCTGTCAACGTCTGTTTTGGTATTATGACACCAGACGGCTGTCATTAGCCGGTGAGGTTTCTAATCCACTCAACGCCTCAGAACAACATATCTCACGACAAAGCTTTAACACTAATGGAAAAATGTGTACTGCCATAGACGAGGTCACAAAATTGGTCATTAGACGCTACTGTCGTGAAATCTAAGTGGTTTGACAACAATGAATGCAGCAGATTCTTCTTACCTTCACCTTATACGCTATGGATGATCATGACGGACACTCAACCTGTTCAGCGAGAGGACAAGTTTCGTCTCGTCTTGTCTAGGTAAAGTTAAACCGGTTCTCACTGCCAGTTTCTGCGCTCATCCGGAGTTCCGTGTCCAACAATACGCAACCGGAGACCCGGGGACCTTTATTATCACTCTGCCAGATCACAAAGAGTGATCTACCACCCCCTGTCGGTACGGAGCAGAGACACGACACGAGACAACAATGAATACAGATAGATGGTATAAAAAAATTCTTATAATAGAATACAGAAACATAGCCGTAAATCATAGCTGCCTAGACTCAAAAAATTTCTTCGATTACGTTGCGTTTTTGTGTCCCATAACTTAAAAAAAAACCTTTAGAAGTAAATTCCATGTTTTTGTAAGACATATTCGATGTTTTATTTATATATATTTTATTTGAAATTAACTTACCATTGGTAGTTTAAAATGCATGTTTGTAACCCCCGGTAGGTATTGGTATTTTTGTCTGTCAAAAAATGCTGTTCAGTAAAAAATAACATTGTACCTGTTACCCACGTCAGTGTAAGAAAATTATCAAACAAATATGTTTATTTAATATAAGTGGATATAAGATGATTATAATTAACAATAAACCATAATCTAGTCCCAAACATACTGAATTCTGGGTAAAATATGTTTGAGGAATCTAGTCCATTTCATACCATTTCAAATAAATATAAAAACATATAAATGTATCTGTATAAATCCACCTGTATTTGTTCAAAATAAATATTTATGGCAGGGCGGTCAATGTGTTGTACTCTTCGTCTTCCGTCCCACCTGGAGCAGGAGGCCCTTCACCGTCACATGACCGCATGTGTGCGTACGCGCCGTGGCTGCCAGTGAACATGGCGGATGAGAACGCAGAAGCGGAGCTCGACTGGAGCGGCCGACACAGCCTGCTGCTCGACGAGGACACATTTTTCGCTATGGAGGGTCTGCAAGCCACCCTTCAGCAACTCGAAGCCGAACTTCGGCAGCAAGACGTTTCTGAAGAATCGTCCACGGAGTATTGCAACAACTTCTGCCAGGTACGCGCAGCCGAAAACGCTGCATGCATGCGAATTGTTTATATGCAACATTTCAGAGCTGTGGCGGCTGGCGTTAGCTAACTTAACCAGATGCGAGTTGTGGCTGCAACCGACCATGCGTGGATGTGATCTTGACGCGTGGGCCGCTTAGTGAGCCTAATTACAAGCGAATTGTGTTGGCATGCACGCCCAATGACCAGCAAAATAAGAGACGATGCAAGCTTTTAAGTTTCATTTTCTAACAGGCTGTGTTTGGTTGTGTTAGTTAGCTAATACTGTGCATAGTATGTTGCACGCTTCCCCCTGCCCCCCGTATATGCGGATATAAGTTTGTGTTTACGATTGCGGATCTGTAAAATCATGTATTAGAGATTTGGTTCTAAGGGCCTGCTGTAAACGGCATTTCCATGTTTTGTTTGAACAGGTATATCTTCAACCGGGGTACAGCACGTTAGTGGGGTGGGGCTCGTTTGTGTTTATCTTGTGCATGTCTCATCTCTACTAACTTTGATGTCACGTGTCACTTCTAATCAACAGTGGGAGTGTTTGAGTTCCTCGAGTCCAAACTCAGACCCCTTTTAAGAGACCCAGTTCTCTTTGCATTCACACTGAGATCTATTTTTATGATTGGGTCTTAGTTCAGTTTTCGTTCACACTGTTGTTTTTTGGTACCAGCCCTCTAGAATATTATTGTAATATAATATTGATGATGATTGGCACTGTTTTTAATATAGGAGTACAATTAAGTAAAATTTTGCACTCCAGTACTACCTGTCAAAGTTTACAGCCAGGGAACAGTGTATGTATGCATTTGTGTTTAGTGAAAGCATTTTGATCTCTTTAGTAAACTTTTTTTTTCATGGCTTGAAATAGACCATTAATTTAACTATTTTGATTTGAAAATACTATTTTGAGGCAAATTTCAGTCATGTTATATTGAAGGTGCAGTAAGCGATTTCTGAGAAACACTGTTGATATTTGAAATCAACACCCAATCAAACATAGCCTTGGCTTCATTCCTTTGCCTCCAAAATAACGTAACATGCTATGCAACATGACTGGCACATCAGACTGTGATTCAGCATATCTTGGTTCTGTCAAACATAGCAAAACCAATATTACTCACGTATCGAGCAAAAACAAAGCAACCTCTACGCTTTTTTCCCCCAGTATTAATGCAGGGCCTTAGCTCTTGCCTGATCATTCCCTTCTTTTTCCAATTATACTCACTTTCTCCTCTCCCATCATGAATGTATACGCCCGCTTTTGCTGATTGGCTACAAGAGAGTTGTGGTGTTCTGTCCTATCCACTTTGTTTTTTCTCCTATTTACACAGGCAATGACTGTGTGCAAACACAATTTCTTTTCAGCACACACAAAACAGACTTCTAGCAAATATTCACAAAATAGTTTATTTGGGAAATTCTCAGAAATTGCTTGCTGCACCTTTATTCTTGTTAGTTCTACAAAAGAGAACTAACAGAAAAATAGAAAAGATTTCTATTTCAAATAAATTTTTTTTTTATTTTTTTATTCATCAATAAATCTTGAGAAAATGTATCATGTTTTCCACAATTTTACGAAGTGCAATTGTTTTCAACTGTGATAAGTTTCTTGAGGACCAAATCAGCATATTAGAAGGATTATGTGACACTGAAGATATGGCTGCATTGGCCAGCTTTGCCATCACAGGAAAAAAATAGATTTAATATATTTTAAAATAGAAAAAAGGATTTTTATTGTAATATATCATAATATTACTGTTTTCTGTATTATCACATGAGCCTAAAATTGACTAATTCAAAAATAAATTCAAACCCCAAACTTATGGTAGTGTATTATGCTCCTTGTTCTATCTTGCATTGAAAAAGCTCCACCTTGTTTCATCATTAATGTTGTACTGTAACGGCAGAAATTATTCGGGATTATGCAAATGTAAACATAAGAGAACTCAGAGTGCATTGTATTGCAATACATGCTATTAATAAGCCATAATCGCAACATATACCAAGTTTGGTTATGTTTAAAAGGGTTTTTTGAAAGTTTGGAACATTCACACATCAATATTCAATGCAAACTGCATTCAGACTTTTTTGGAATGAACAAAAAATTGGTCTGACAGATTAATGAACCCCACATAAATTCTAGAAACCAATTTAAGCTTTTTCAGTAATGCAAAGTTTGGGGTTTCAGGGGCCTCTTTTTAGTTGGAAAAAAGTTTACCTTTATAAAAATATTTTGCGGTACGGCTACGTTAAAATGATTACGCATTGCATTTTTTGTTGTTGTCATGATTCATGGATTAAAAACTCTTGTGACAGCACATGTCAATCATGCAAAGACTTTTGTGTGTGTCTCTATAACACCATAATGCAAATTTTTCAGTGTTGGGGCTGAACGCGTAATTTGGTCATAACAAGCACATTAAAAGTATCCCATTGGGAACCCACAGGCCCCATTTAGGAGACTACATTTGAATCTCAGCTCTGCCTGTTTTCCTCAGCTTCATTGTTGCTGTGGCAACCGATCCAGCAGGACTCTGTCCTGACAGATATCACTTGCCACACATACTACCTGTCTGCTAGGCCATACTACATACTACTTGTCGATACAAGTATCGATACAGCTGCTTCTCTATCAATTCCGCAGCCTGTACTGAGCAGTGTACCTCGCTTAATTTGAATACAAGAACAGCGTTTAAAACAAAGTGGAAATGTGCTGAAATTAGCCTAATGAATATAATATATTATATATAGGCTAGCACAAGGTTTAATCTGGCCCTCAGAGGAACATAACTAATCCCTCAATCAGAGCTTCAAACTTGTTCAATACGGAAATATCTGCTAACTAAGGGTGCTTTCAGACCCGGATCGATTTGTTTTGTTCCGGAACAGATCCGAAACAGAATACTTTGTTCCGAATCAATTTAATACGTCACTCTGTTCACACCACACTGTTGTAAACATAGACAGTAAAAGAAATGGACAGAGCCATCTCATTGGAACTCAGTTGAGACAGTTGAAGCCCATTTTTAGCGATTTTTGAGCACTTCCGTTCCTGACGCGCAGACTCAAACCGACTCAAACTAAGCTTGATGACGTGAGCAACCTGTCTGACAGACGTTAATCTTCTAGTGGCTGTGCCAAGAGGAATCTGAATCATTCCCTTCCGAAACTTGCAGAGCCGGAGATCGTGAGTATTAGCTGTCCATGAGCTCGCAGCAGGAGCAGCTTTACAACTCTCTATGGGCTTCTCCCTTGACTTTATGCCTCGACGTCCCCCCGATTGCGCGCGAGTTTCTACTTCTGTCTATACGGTAATTTCTGTACAGCGCGACAGAGTCGAGTGGTTATGACGCAGTCGTTAGCCTATTTTTACTAAATCTGTTTCTACGGGGCCATAACGTAACATAGAAGGTAATGGAGCCTTTTATACATTGTCGTGTTTCTTTAGAAATTAATAATGGACAAATGGAGTCTTTAAACGCCTCAGATGTAAAGTTATTCGCTATCAAAGTGACGCCAAAATGAATGGGAGTCAATGGAAATGCTAACGCAAGTGAAGTTCTGCTACAAGATGGCGGCACCCGGCCGACTTCAACTTCCGGTCGATGGATTACCCCCTTGGTTGTAAAGCGGTCCAAATCGCGCACCCTTCCAGGGCTTTCCTTACGCCATTACGTCACTACCTCATGCGTGCAGGTCGCGCATTCCATTGTGGGACATCGTCATGACAACAGTAGCCTAACACAAAATGATTGCGGGTTGACTTGGTGCTACGAAGAGGTGAAATGCCTCATAGATATTTGGTCGGAAGAGCACATCTCCCGGATGTTGGACACTACACACAAGAACACCGAAGTGTACAAGAAGATCAGCTATAAAATGAAAGAGAGGGGTTATGAACGGTCCGTCGAGCAGTGCCGCGCAAAGGCGGAAAAACTCCGATATTGATTTGTTCCGGTTCGTGGGTCGGTTGTGTTCTCACTACAAACGAACCGCTCCAGGGTTCGTATGGAATCGAGCCGAGACCACCTCTTCTAGGCGGTCTCGGCTCGGTTGTTTTGTTCCGATTCAGAGTGCAATTGTTGTGTTCACATATGACCAAACGAACCG